ATTCATCCGGTTGCTGTGATAATTATCGCCCTGGCGATCGTCGACGGCGTGGTGGGTCCCGTCGAAGAGCCTGAGCTGGAGATATTGGGCTAGCTGATCTGCGCGAATGTCCCTAAAAGGCTCGTTAGCGCCATGCATTAAAATACTGGTCATGTCGTTGGGTAAGCCAAGTTATTGCATGCTTTGTTCGTTGTGTCATCACATCAACAGCAATATCTGCAAATTTAATCCCACCCGCTGCTGGCCGGGGCGTTACCTACAGATCCGGGTTAACATTTTTTCAACTTGTAAATGTAGCCGTCGCGTGTGCCTACAGGAACTGCTTGTATAAATTGTGCAATTTCTTTTCCTCCCATCGGGTTAGGTCAAACACTATCGTAGTAAATAGTAAGTAGCGAAGAACAATGGAGTTGAGTATGATTACACGGTTCTCAACACTAGTACCCACTCAAGTCGCTGTAATTCGGCGTCGCTAAATCTGCTGTATACGTAGGGCCCAGTTGTTGTTCACTCAATCGCCTGTCCCAACTTCATAACCCACGTACCGAGTTGTGTGTCCCGGTGCAACGACCGCGATGATCTTGTAATTCATTATGTAAACATACTGAATTATAAAAATTAGCTTGCTCTAGTCCGGCTGAACATGCAGGCCCGACAAAGCTCCATCGCACGGATGATACGTAGAGCGCGCGGTATCTGCTCTGCTCCTCGAGGAAAAGCGTGGAGTCGTCAACAAACGCCGAGAGCGGGTGAGTCCGCCCTGACATTCCGAGCATTTTAAGCCTCCAAGTGTAGGATCCTGCTTTAGCGCAAGCCCTAAAACCTTTACAACAAGCAGAAAAAGGAGAGGTGCGAGCGGACAGTCTTGGCCAATACCTGGAATAACTTGGAGAGACTTGGACAGCGAACCGTTCTCGACAAATATGGCTATCGTCCCTTTGTGTATACGGCGAATTAGGTCGACCAAGCGGTCGTCGAACCCAAAACGGCGGAGCCGTACATTAAACATCGATCCGATGTGTCATAAACCTTTCGGAAATCCAACGATAACATACAGCGGCTGTTCGCGGCTGTCACGTACTGTTCAGTAGCAATTGTAAGTTTAGCCAGTATCATCATAACTGTCTTCGTAGTTCTACGACCGTAAACCAGACCTTGTCGCGAGTCGCTAATTTCCAAAGGTAAGACCGCTTGTACCCTCGTAGCCAGCACTTGGCAAAGACTTTATAATTATATTATGAAGGAGATAAATCCCCGCCTTAAAGAATTTAATTACTGATTAGGACGAAGCCTTGGAACCATTAGCGCTGCAGTATCTTTGTAAAAATCATTGTTAACCCATCGTGACCGACCGCTTTGTGTTGTTGAAGACTGACGATGGCCGAAAGCACCTCAGCGTCCATAAATGACCTTAGCAGTCGCACGTTATCAGTGTCCGCGAGCCTTTGCTCTGGCGGAATAATCGCAAAATTCCGCGTATCCGTTGACAAGGAAATCAACACCATGGTGCGGTGGCTAACGCTCAGCACGTGCGCCTATTCTGACGCAAATTGATCCACAAGCGACATATGTTGTTCCCTAAAGGCCAATACATAGCGCGCTCGTAGGGACGTGACGTGCTGATACCGTTCCCAATTGTCCACACGTTTAAGGACCATCGCAGCCGCGCCGTAGACCTTTCTAGATGTTAACCGAGCTTAGCCAAATGTTCCTCACTCATCTCGTCCAGATCTGCAGATACCCATTGCCATTGGGTTAGAAACTACCGTCTGTTGTGAAGCCTAATCTTTGCAATAAAGCGCTGCGCCTCTGTTTGTCCCGTTTTCTAACCGCTTGTATACAGTGTACGCTTCCGGCAATACGGGCATCCCAGGTATGAAGTGTTGGGGTCCGGCCCACCCCCATGTTAATCATTTTTGTATCAATTCCGGTATGACGCGATCCAATTGACTCGTTTCAATAGGACAAATGGAACGAAGCCGCTGATTGAGATCGTGGCCCCGTCCGGATTGTTTGTCACGAAAATGTAGGACCACTTCCCGATGATCGGAGTAGTGAGAAAGGGGACTCGTAAATGCCCAGAGAACTGTCGGAGCCCAAGCCGCTGAGACGTAAAATCGATCGATCCTGCTGGCTATTACGTTGGTCATAGAGGTGTAGTGGCAAGTCATGGCTGACCTCATAACCTCTGCATATCCCCGCAGGAGCTGAGTATCACACAGCTCAGTCTTCTGCAACAATATACTCAATGCACGACTTTCTGGTCGGCTGGCCGTCCGTTGACCCAACCTATCCATTGAGGGCTCTGGACACTGTCGAAATCGCCCAGGAAGACATTTAGATCGGTGTGTGTCACTGGATTGAAAACTTTCTCAAAATCAGACCACGACGTGAAGATGGCGATAGCGCACACTCGACACCAGGACCACAGATATTTGAACTGAGGCATACGGCGTGACATTCATCTGCAATCCTTGATCATCTCCAAAAAATAGCGAACTCAATAATTTGTCGCTGCGCGAGCGATGCGCATCGACCAGTGACTGTATGATCATACAGCTATTGTACCCGTGCACCCAATGTTCTACGCGCAGAACTTAATGCTCATGTTCCTTGCAATTGGAGATGCGTAGGACTTTATGAGCACATAGACATACTCACCTCATAAACCTCTGGCATGGGTACACACGGACAGCAAAACTACCTTTCACGCGACCATGTATTCTCAAGTACCCACATCTAGTTCCACAGGACTCTTTTGACTGATTTAGCGCTGTCATCTAGCCGCTCACGATCTGCATCTTTTATCGTTAAACAATCGTATCTGTCTCTAGTTCAGAAGTTCTGCCACCTTCACAACAACGTCTGAAAATGCAAATAATAATGTCAGTGTCCTTGTCCATGACCAATTTGTCATTTATAGCGAAAAGCTGGAGCTGTTGAAACGTATCTACATGGACAGGTCAAGCCTGTCCGCGGATGGTCACCAGTAGTGGTGTGCTTGACACATAGTGCAGCTAAAGATCGAGCCACAGTGTGAGGATCTCATCAGTAAGGAAGGTTACAGCCATAAGTCGGCGAATGCGAAAAAGATAAGGAGCTTATTGAGACCGGCGGTACCAACCTTGTATGAAGGTTACACGGTCAAAACGATTCGACAGGATTGGCATCATATGCGCGGCAGATTCATGTCACCGTCACCTCACACCTGGCTAATCTGTTGTCTACGATACTCACGAAGAAGTGCAAAAACAAGAGAGGCCTTGTATTTTTGTGGTACAATTCTCGCTTAGGGTGCGCGAGGCCCCAACTTCGATCTTCGGCAAAGCCATACCAGTTACCCGTCGATCGAAAGGATGACCTCACATGTCTCTCACTCAGGCGTGGCAAGAATAGAGACGTACTTGCACTGCAATGGATTGTACAAAGCCACGACGCTACCGTTGCGCTCAGACACTTTCAGGCATCTCGCACATGAAACTAATGGGAAGTCAAATCTCTTTCCCACGAAGAAGGGCAAAAGATGATGTACACATTCGTGCAACGAATTGGTGTAAAAGGTCGCATCACTGGAACCCTTGCAGCCTTGTCGATACATTTTCGTTTTTCTGTGCCATAACGATGACGCGTTTACTACAAAGCTTTGCAACCTCATCAGCCGTGTTGTCCAGCTGTGCTAAAGTACCGAAGACCCTATACATAGCATGTTGGTGAGCAGCAAGAGAACTATCCCAATACACGTTTTTGTTAACTCGCGAGACACATTACAACATGAACAACCAACTCACAACTTTCACAACGCTTCATTGAGCCACACACGCATGATGCACACTCCAGCGCGCTGCTGCATCCCATTCGGTGCGTTCTGTACTAGTGATACCGTTGTGTCGGCAAGCAATTATACTTGACAGACAATGCCGCCTTCCATTCCATGCTACTAGGGCGCCGTACACTCGACCGTACAACAATCAAACAAACTTCTTGTTCATTTTGGAACCGTGGCCCTCACAACACAGCACGAACGTAATGAACGCGAATGATCATGTGTACGAGTTCTAGCGCAAAGCAGCTCGAGCGACGCCCAGCCCAATGGGCTATGTATCATTATTCAACGAAGAAATGCCTCTCGATATCTCGTCGAAGCTCTTGACAAATCCACGACGGTCACCGTTATCAGCCAGTGGCTACACGTCACAGCACGAGCCGACGAGGACTTACCGTCGCCGCATACGCAATCCGACAGGTTTCGACAAACATCCGCATCGATCGTCAGTCTGAACGGATGTTTTCCTGCCATGCGGGAACCCCTGACGTGCGCACCATGGCGTCTGTCGCACTGGCTAGTGCTGCTGGCAAGCATTACACAATGGTCCAGCTCTGGGAAACCCTCGACAAACAACAACAACGCCACCAACGCCGTGCAATATCCCGCAAGTTGGTCGGTTACGCCCTCGTCGAAAAACGCCTGCTGGGTCCGAAAAAAAAACAATCCCCTTTAGCCCAACCACCTCAGGCACTCGACGACGCTGCCTCCTCTTGCCCGACCGTCGGCTGTCCTGTCAAAGAGTCCACTACGAACGACACTGTCAACTCGAGTCGACACGTTCTTTCCGCCTCTCGACCTCCAGTTTCAGTATCTGAGACTCTCGCGGTTTCGCCACCCGAGAGACTTTCACCCCCCCTCCCCCACGTGTTTTCGACGGACGGACGATCGGCCACTTCCAAAAGACCAGACGCACAAACGAGCCACTCGACTAAAAGAGCTGCTCGTCATTATTGCACAGAACCAGTGATCCCCTTGTCCCGCGTACCCCCACCAGTAGTGCATTGCGAGCCGATCGTCGGCACTCGTCGCCTGTAACTCGATCCGTGCGCTCATCGCACCACACTTTCTCTCTCTCTCTCTCTCTCTCTCTCCAACTCACTGCAGTACGCACCGCCGCTCGTCACCCAATTGCCACACACCATAGTGGACGCGCGTGCTGTGCATGTACGACAGTATGGCCACACCGCCGCAAAGCGACACGATAACTGCACTCCGTGGCGGCTTCTCACCGCCCAGCGCGACGTCCCCGACACCGAGTGACGTTTTCCATCGGCGGCCGTCTGCCCACTCGGACGTACAGTGTCCGCGCGCGACGATCGGCCACGGCGGACCGACGTCGGACGACGACGAAGCCGCGTCCGAAGACGTGCGCCGGATCCCAATGATACCGCTCTCGACCGCAAACGCTGTCCCGCGGCTCAGCGTGAGCTCGCGCATGTCACTGCAGCCGCAGCATCAGCTCCTCCGGCGACGCAGTAAGAAGCGCTCGTTCTACAAGACGGCGTCCACGGGCAGGATCTTGCGCGGGAGTATGCCGCCCGTGCCGCGTCACTGGCTCAACGCGCGTTTCCGGCACAACTCGTTCTTTGCCCGACGGCTGCTGCACGCGGGCGTACCGCTCGCCTGTGTCCTGGCCGCGGGCCTGGGCGTCTACTACTGCTACAAACCCCAGTGGCTCGTGCTCAATCGCACGTCGGCGCCACGGACCTATGGCTTCCGACTCGAGTCCCCGCGTCTGGTCTACACGTTCCAAGCCTCGAGCTGCGAAAACGTCGTGGGCTTCTCGGCGCTGATTTTCCACACGCTACCGGCCGTGCTGTTGCTGTGCTTGCCCGGGTCGGGCTGGCGGCTCTTTGAGCCGTTCAAGCGGGAGGACGAACCACTGGCTGCGGCTGCGCCGTTCGCGTCGCGCGCGACAATGGGCAAAGCAGCAGACATTGAGACGGGCCACGGGGGCATGGACCTCGACGACGACGAAGAGGACGATGGGAACCTGACGAAGATCAAGCGACGCCTCGTGTTCCAGTTCTGCGAGCTCGTGGCCGTGCTCCTGCTGCTCTTCCAGGCGTTCGTCGTGGTGTTTTTCTTCTACATGTTCTTCAAAGGCGGCGTCTTCACGTGCGACGTGCAGGCCGTCCAGCTCTTTGGACTTGTCAGCATTGTGTGCTTTGGCTGGATCTTCACGGAGCTCCAGTACTTTGCCCGCTTTCGCGAGCACGTCAAGATGCTCCTGGGGGCTTTCCAAGAAAGCGATCAGACCGGTGACGTGCGCACGCACGTGATGGACCCAGGCGTTGATCAGCTCATGAACCAGCTCGACAAAGCGCTGGCAGTCGTGCGCAAACGACTGTATAAAGCCACGCGTCAAGGCGATCTGCGTGAGATGCGGGACATTCTGGACTACGCGGAAGCAGCAGGTCTGACCGGCGACGACCAAGGGTTTCCACGCAAGAGCTATGCTGCCGCCTCGCACTTCTTTGGCTTTTTCGCCAAGTCGCGCAAGAACCCCGTGCACGTTGCAGCGTATCACGGTAATATTCGTGCGCTGGAGCTTCTCGAGGCTCGAGGCTTTGACGTTGGGGCAATGGACAAATTCAACCGCGTACGGTTCTCGACTGGCGATCTCTTCTGGTACCTCGCTCGGTTCTTCGTAGCTCGGCCAGGCGTTGATGGAGGAGGCAGTGACGAAGAATCAGCTGCGTCGATCTTTCGGACGACACTTGTCACGCCACTTCATTGTGCCGTGTCCACAGGTCAGTTGGAAGCTGTTCGGTGGCTGCTCTCGCGAGGCGTATCCGCTCGGACGCTCGCTCGCTCGTCATACCGTTCGGACCGCGTACCGCCACTTTTCTTGGCGGAACATCCGGATGTCGTCCGTGCACTACTGATTCATGGAGCTGATCCGCTCGCGATTCCAGATCCAGGCTACATGAACACGTTGACAGCGTTGCAGCTTGCGTACTTGCGCGGTAACTATGCCGTCGCTCAAGAACTCGAAGAATGGGGTGGCGACGTCGCCCTCACTCCTTTCCACTCGGCTGCGGGGCGGAACGACGTGTTGGCCGTGCGAAAGTTCTTGCGGAAGAAGACAGACGTGGATTGTCTTGGCGAAATGGGCTACGTCGGGTTGAATCGACGCACGCCGTTGCACTGGGCAGCCGTCAGTGGTGCTCTGGAGGTCGTGAATATATTGCTGGAAGCAGGTGCCGACTCGAACTTCCAGGATGCTCGTGGCCGATCTCCGCTGCATTGGGCAGCACGACTGAACAAAACGGATGTCGTCCGCTCCCTGCTGAAAGCTGGCGCCGATCCGAAGCTGGTCGACTTGGATTACATGACTCCGCTCATGTGCGCTGCCAATGGACTTGACGCTACGCGCGAGTTGGTTGGTATTTTGACGTCTGCCGGTGCCGACATCAATTACCAACTGCCAACTACGGGCGATACGGCACTGCACGTCGCTGTTCGAAAGGACAATGAGCAATCTGCACTCGCGATCGTGGCCAACGGTGGCAATCTCATGAAGATGAACATCGAAGGGCTTCGACCACTGGACTGCACGACGTCAACGCGCTTGTTGTTTGAGATCAAACAAGCTGCTGGCCAGCGCGACGTGATGATCAGCTACACGCACTCGCATGCTGAGTTTGCCAAAAAGATCCGTCGAGCACTTGAAGACGCGAACGTGACGACGTGGCTCGATTTGATGGACCCAAGTGGCATTGGTGGTGGGACTGTCTGGCGGGAAGAGATTGCACGGGGCATTACGAATGCTGCGGTCGTCTTGTGCCTCTTGACGGAGGACTATGCCCAGTCCGAGTGGTGTTTGAAGGAATTGGCATTGGCAAAGCAAGTTGGGACCCCGATATTAGCCGTCTCGAGCGAAGGGGTAAGCATTGGTGAGGATCTACAGGTGTACCTGTACACTCGTCAGATCATTCCGTTCGAGTCGGCTATCACTCAAACGAGACGAAACAGTGTGAACGTGCGGCAGATCGAGTACGACTACAACCAGGCCAAGTTCCAGGCGCAATTTCGATTGCTGCTCGATGGAGTGCGTGATGAGATTGAAAAGAGCCGCGATGCGGTCCAGCGCCAAAACGTCGCCAATAGTCGGCGAACCAACGGCCTTAAGCGGGCGTCCATGGGAACAATGATTGCAGCGTCGAGTACTGGCGGGTTTTCGCGCGTGTTCCAGCGATGGGACCCCGAAGCCAGTTTTGTGGCCAAGCAGTTTGTCTTCCTCTCGCATGGCGACAAGCACACGGGGTTTGTGCAGCAACTGTACGCTGAGCTGCAAGACGCTGGTGTCGTGTGCTACGGCGATCGCAATGCAGAGAGTCGGGACTTTGAAGACCGTATCCACGCAACGCGCGAAGCGATTCTGAGATGTACGTGTTTCCTCGTGATTCTGTCCAAGCAGACTATGGGCAGCGAGCTCGTGCGCGATCAATTGGCCTTTGCCGAGGACAAGGGGCGTCCGATTTTTCCGATCACGCTGAACGATTTGGACCCGGGACTGGACAAGCGCTACTCGCTCGCGCGCAATGAACTCTATCACTTTATGGGCAACGGCATGAGCTTCAAGCACAGTGCGCATCGACTGATTGAGGGGCTGCGTCAACAGTACACTGCGCAAGACGAGCACCTCGGACGGGTCGGCAACAACAGCACGCGAGTGGCCAGTGTCAACACGTCATTTGTGTCGTTTTCAGTGGGCGCGTCTGCGACTATGGACGACAACCGCAGTGGAGTTGGCGAGCCAGTGATCCAGGAAGGGGCCGTGTTGCAAGAAAGTGACGATGCATCAGCTCGAGCTCGTTGCGGGAATGAGCCTACGAGCGCAATGTGATTCTTTGCGATTGCGGATAGGGACAATGCTTTGTTGGATCGCTCGAGCAGGAGGTCCATTTGAATGGAGAGGAAGGAATGGAGGAGGAAACTATGAGCACATTAAACCGAAATGCCGACGTGAGAGGAGAGACAGGAGCGCGTGTGGTTGATAGTCTTGACGTTCGAGGGGGAGGGGTACGTTCGTGACTTCTCGAGGATCACTTGCAGGCGTATCTTCCCATCTAATCCGGTAGACAGATCGAGGGATACATTGAACCCACGTACCTCTGTCGGAGGTGGCGTAGCTGCTGACAACAAGAAGTGGAAAGCCACCGCCCGATGTGCGACTATGTGGATGCGCTACGCTGTCGTACCACTGTGTCCAGGCAGAGGACTCACTCAATATGACGAACGTGGCGGTGGTACTGCAAGCGTTCCTCGTGTTTGTATCTCTTTTATTATCGTTAATAACTTATTACTCTACACCACAGAGGTCAGTCGTCGCCCAGACAAGTGCTTTCACATCTCGAGCTGAAACATAAGGGCGTCCAAGTCGTCGTCGTCGTCGTCGTCGTCACTGGCTTCTGATGCTGCTGCTGCTGCTGCTGCTTCTTCGTCGTCAGACTCTTGCAATGCCCACGCGGTCACGAGCGACGAAGAAGCAGTGGACGTGTCGGACAAGTAGAGGGCATCGTCCTGGAACGCACTGGAGAATGCGCTTTTCTGGCCTGGACTATAGTATGTGTTTTCCTTACTGCCTTGGTAGTACCCAGACGCGCCAGTGTCGTCGTCGTCGTCGTCGCTGTCGACGTCACTGTCACTGCCGTCGCCCTCGCGGTCGTCGACCGCGTCTTCGAGTCCACAACGAATGATCGTAAGAAAGTCCAGCGGCTCGTCCACGAGCTGGCTCTGTGTCGCCAAGTGAGAGGCCGTTGGCGATGGCAGTGGCGTGTCGTACTTCAGCTCGAGGCCCAGGGCAACGTCAATGTCCGTGCAGTTGCCGAGACCCGCAAGAATAGGGTTCGAAAATGGGGGCACGGCGTGCGACGTCCGGAAGCTGCGGGCCGTGCGGAGGAAGAAGCCAGCGGGTTGCAGGGGCAGCACGTCGCACATGGCGTTGTGTGGTCGTGCGGTCGAAAGAGAAGTAATGATGGGGCGAGTCGGGTGTTCGTTGGGTTCGGTATTAGGGAGTCGGTCGCTCGTTCGTTGGTGTGTGTGGTGTATCGTGAGTGAGTGGTGTGTAGTATAGAGGTGTGTCTGTGTGTGGGTGTGTGGATAGAGGTGTGTGGGCGAGCGAGCAATATGAGAAATGAGGACCTGTTGCGCGAGCGCTTTGACTGGCGCGTCTATGGTGCGAAACGGTGGACGGGATAAGGGCCTGCGTGATCGTACTTATTAACATCCCGTTTCAAATAGGGGTCGTGTCCAGCCCTCTTTCCTTCAATCGCGAGTCTTCTCTCGCTTTCCCGCGCGATAGTGTCAACGTCATCAAAGTGCCTGCAATATTACATATGTGCGGCCCAGATGGAACAGTAGGAGCCACCCACGCACTTGACTTTTGTATGACCAGCGCCCAGCACGCGCAAGGCGACGACGACATAAGACCAGTCGGTGCCAGCAGCTCGCTCGAGACAAGCACGATCGAGTGATGCAGGAGGGTGTTCCTTGCCCTTGAAGTAGGGGATGCTGCCTCATGCCACCGAATGTCAACCCGAGCCCACGAGGGGACGGAGTGGCAAGAGGGTAAAAGCCGTACGTTGAAGCAGTCCCGCGTTCAACATACCGCACGAGTCTACCACGGACCAAGTTCAAGTGCCCGTTTTTACGCCCGTGAAACTGTGGGCGCAGCATCGCTCGCCCCTCTCACCAGTGCGCCTCAGTCTCTGGAAGAAGAGCACGTCACTGCGAAGCAATCGTCATGCTATTCTAGATCTTGTTGCTTGTTTGCTTGTTGTTTGCTTGCTTGTTGTTTGCTTGTTTGCTTCTAGGCAGTGAGCTCGTCGTGGAACAGTTTGTCGTCGTTTGAACATTTGACGACACTCGTTGGGCCGACGTGCTTCGTCTCAAAAGCACGATGACGACCTGTCGAGTCCGTCTGCAAATCCCTCACCTGCAAGCGGCGCGCGAAAAGAAAGTGGAAGTCCCTTGCAACTTCAAGCGTTCTGCAAGCTTCTCGGTGCGCTACGCGGCCCCGGACAATACCGTCCGATTGACCGGGGAAACTGCTGCTGATAAGGCAGACGCAGGTAGTAGTAACGCACTGCAGCGGAAACCAAATGTGGCGCGTCACCCCAGCACGTCATAATGAACGGGCAACGTGTTCAATATGTCCTGAAAATTTGGAGACCTTGTGCCTGATTTGCTTGGAAGGTGCAAAGGAGGATTCACTGATCGGCAGGATTGATGAAGGGGCTTGACCGATGCCTCATCGTGAACTGTAGGGCCGCATCTCACGGAGCGGGTATTGTGGCACACGTGCATCCCTCCGTGTTCTTACTGGCTTAACCGAGGCAAGCCATGCTACACCTAAGCGAAGAGGCTCTGGGAAAAAATGCCATTTTCAGGCCCTTCCCACGGCCCGAAGTGGTTTTAGGCCACAAGGGTTCACTGGAGTTCTTCTTGCATCTTGATGACGCGACTTTACACGGGCAGGAACAATCAATTGGCTACCCACTATCCATTCGTAAATCAACTACACAACAACACGGACTGAGTAGAAGTTTATGAACAAACGACGGTCGTGGACGAGTCCATTTCAAACGCCCTGGAAGGGAAGCGTAAACGCAAAGGTCCGAGCGAGAATTAAGATGGGAATGTTGGCCTGCACTCGCACCCTTTACTTGTCAATCGCATTCGACCGTTGCGTTTCAATGGATGTTCCTTCGATTGATTGCGCTCGGTCACGCTTGAAAAGGGACCGTCAAGACAAAGGTGTGTCGACCGGTTGCAACGGCTCAGCATCAGCACGTCCAACGCTTACGATAGTGAAGAGTTGCTGACAGCACGTGGTGGCCAGCATCAACACCTTTTTCTTGCACATGGTTACCGTCGTTTCTTAAGCAAGAACAGCATCGAAATGACTGATTCGTCATGTTCTGCTCGAAGCGGTCGCGGATTCTCATTGACAGGCTTCAGTAACTTTCTTTTCGCCATTGTGGCGTACAAAAGTGACGAATCGTAAATGCAATAGCGGTGAAGGTACATTCATGCGCAGCCGATGCTGTCCGCACCGTTCAGCTTCAGGGAAGGATTACTAGCGCACGGTCCACCGTAGTTTGTGGTGTACAGATCAGGTGAGCTGCACTGTTTGAACGAAGGCGAATCCTCCACAGTCTGTCAGTCAGTCAGTCAGTCAGTCAGTCACCAGCGAGATTATCTGAGTCGACGTAAAGGTCTACGCGCTATTACTTCGAATCCAACACAATAAGCCAATTGTGCTGTCCGGAATCATGCGATGCATGGCATAAGTCCATGACATCGTGACAATCATAGTCAGCACACTTAACCTTTTCTGTTGCGCGCGATATAACAAGCAGCTCTGGTCTATCCCCTCTCATCTCTTTAGTTCGACTTTGTAAGAACATTGCTTCACTTAGGCAGATTGATGTATACGGTTCTTTCCCACTCTCATGTTTGCAGCTATACTTGACAAAGTGTGTCTTTCCACTGTAACGCTCGCTCATACACTGCAAAAACACACATCGAAACTTGCTTGTGAATGCGCGGCCTATCGCTATGGTCACTATATCAATATCATACGTCGCCTTGCAGCAAATACGCAGCAAACCCGCAAATCTTTCGTTTGTGTTTCGTGGCAAAGTTTTATGATGACGCGAGATGAAATGCCTGCTCGATCAGTTAATGGGATATCATTGCCACGGTGCTGGCCGTCGGAGACGTCGAGAGACGATGTGCATTCGCAAAACGTTCACCGTTTGATTCACTTATGCAGCACGCGATTAATCTGCAGGCAGCGTTTTGTTAACGCTGATGCATGTGGCATTCCGGAAGCCGTGTCGTCCGATTCAACCGACGCCATCCGAAACGAACGCTGGTATTGAAAACTAAGCACATAGATTTGTCGACATGTATGCAGACTGTGATTGATAAAAGAATGAGTGTCCACAAAGACTTACTGCAGGACAGTGACGTCTACAACGGACCACAGGTTTTCGTGGTACGTCCATCCATCATGTCGTACAAGCATGTGAGTTGTATACCGTCGCTGCGTTGTCGTGGGGCCGCGTCGATGGCCACAAGTCATAACAATATACACCAATGCGTCTATATACCTGTAGGAACGTACTACTCTAAGCGATCACAGGGGCTACAGCGATGTTCTTGATAATGGTTCTACTGCTATCATCAGATTGATGCAAGTACTTGCACTGAGCCAGAGAAGACAGGCAATTTGTCAAGTAATGAGCACGTCGAACAGCTCGTCAATTTGTAACGCTGAATGTTTCATGATCATCGTGCGTAGACTGCATGTTCATGACACAAACATGTTCAATGCCGATTTGCATATTCGTCGCATCCAGGTGAAGCCTGGGCGCGCTGACGAAAACGTCAGACAAGCATAGGTGCATCCTTCGCTTGTGTGATTTTGCGTTGACACAGTTCTCACGAAACGGAAGTCTATACCTCGTCTATAGTTCCTTGGCAGCCAGCATTTTTACAACAGCAACAGGAAAACGCAATGATACATCGGAGATCGACAAACTCTATGATGACGCATCCGGAACATACTCCGTAATAGAGCACGTCGTCGTACGATGCACCAACAATGTTGAGTAGGAGGGTCGCTACAGCACAGCTGAGATTTTGGCCCGCATGACCCGAAAATGCATGCAATCATTTGTGAATGCAAGAGTTATTCGCTTATCAGCTATGCATGTAATACCGCGCTATGAAGCAGCGAAATACTTGCGCATTTACATATTGACATGTCGGGAATGATAGGATGCATTGAGGGGTCTTCTCGCACATCAATAATTACACTGCTGCTGGCAAGGTGCGTTCATCTTTTCTGGAATCGGCAAGATATCAGTGGTAGTCGGCAGCAGTTGAGCGTGCAGCGCTTTACCGCTGACAGCACATAGTATGAATCATCAAGGATCAACAGCACTTACTATGTTTACAATATACTGCCACATTTGGGCTTAAGCGAAACAACAAAACGCTGCATGGTAAACACCGCGTGTTCGCTTATCTTGGGAGACACTGCCGAAACCAATGCCAAGACTTAGCTGTCTCGTTAGCGTTGAAGTGGACGTTGTGAAGGGTAAATGTACACATTTGGGTCAGCCTCACTCAAGACTGCATTTTTTATTATGCAATACATTTGTGGAAAAGAGTGACACATGATCCCAATCGAGCTGCTAGCTTTGACCTCGATGGTTTTTGATGTAGCTTAAGTTTCGGGACGCGTTCATTTGCCTTTACTCACAGAATCATATGCATAAGATTGGAGCGATATACGTAAGTGGCTATGTCTTGGCGTATCGAGTATCGACTTCAGTCGCACGATCAGCAGCTGTTTTGCTTGTTTGATTGGCAATCTGCTCATGGTGCTTTCATAATCAAATGAGTCGTGCTCTAATTCCGTGATGCTCTTGTACAGGCGATCTGCGTATCGTCAGATATATTCCATCGATGCAGTGATTATGCGAAGTAGACGATTGTGTCGTGAGTTTGCGTCGCACTGTCCATCAACAAGCGTACAATTAAACTATTTAGGAAAGATTCAAATGATACGGAAACACCCAGCGAACATCACCTGTGGAGTACATTCGACGAAGAGTCTTGTGAATGCTGTACAAGTGTACCTGCAAGTATACATTGTGCTAAAAGTTAGCATCGGCACGATGAAAATAAATGACAAGTGCGCGGGTGCGAAGACTTTGCCAAATCAGAGTCGACTGTGCACTTGCCATTGCAAAAAATATAGTCAGCTTCTTTTTCATATCGTCGTTCTCACCGCCTGTACAACTTGGACTACGGGGGACACATTATTACCTTGATTCGTGCTTATCATTTACACTGGGTTAGTACGATGCCGCAATATTTCTGTAATGAAGCTTATTAGTAGGTCAAGTAAGTGCCCGCTCGAT